GCAGGTGTGACACCACAGACAGGGGTGACACCACAGACAGGGGCAACACTACAGACAGGGGTGACACCACAGACAGGGGTGACACCACAGACAGGGGTGACACCACAGACAGGGGCGACAGGGTGACACCGCAGCTGCCATGGGGTGCCAGGAGTGCCACCACGTCCAGGGGGTGCCACCAAAACCGGATCTGCCACCACGGCCCAAGTGTGTCACCGCATGCAGATGAGTGGCTGGGGACACGTGTGCCACCACAGTGACATGTGCCAACACAGTGACATGTGCCAACACAGTGACATGTGCCAACACACACAGAGACATCACTGAATGTGTGTGTGTTTATGTGTGTATAGACATGGGATGCCCGTTTGTGTGCACGTATACATGTATAGATACACACACACACGTATAAATATATATATTTTTATATACACAGGGTGCCTGTTACTCTGTGTGTGTACATACAAACACATACCTGTATATATTTATGTATTTATGAGTGTGTATGTATATGTATATGCATGTGGGATGCCTGTTTGTGTGCACAAATGCATGTGTAGATACACACACACACATATAAATATATATATTTTTATATACACAGGGTGCCTGTTACTCTGTGTGTGTACATACAAACACATGCCTGTATATATTTATTTATTTATGTGTGTGTATGTATATGTATATGCATGTGGGATGCCCGTTTGTGTGCACAAATGCATGTGTAGATACACACACACATATAAATATATATATTTTTATATACACGGGGTGCCTGTTACTCTGTGTGTGTACATACAGACACACTCCTGTATATATTTATATATTTATGTGTGTATATATGTGTATATAGACGTGGGGTGCCTCTGTGTGTGCACATATACATGTATAGATACATATGTACACATATAAATATATATATACATATATATATGTTTATATCCACAGGGGTGCCTGTTATTCTGTGTGTGTACATATAGACACACACCTGTATATATTTATATATTTATGTGTGTGTATATACACTTGGGGTGCGTGTTTCTGTGCACGTATACATGTATAGGTACACACACACATATATAAATATATATATATAAATATATAAATATATATATATAAATATATATATATAAATTTTTTATATTATAAATAATTATAAATAATATTACTATATATTATATAATATATATTATTAGATAATATATAATATATATATTACATCATATATAATTATATAATATATAATATATATTTATATATTAATATATATTATTAATTAAAAATATAAATATATAATAGATATTTACATATAATATAATATATGCAATTATATAATATATAATTATATAATATATAATTATATAATATACATTATATAATATTATAAAATATATATAAAATCAATATTATTATAAATAATTATATTATTATATATAAATATTATATATAATATATAAATATATATATAAAAATATATATATATAAAATATATATATATATATGTTTATATCCACAGGGGTGCCTGTTGCTCTGTGTATGTACATATAGACACACCCCTGTATATATTTATATTTCTGCATGTATGTATANTGCAGATGAGTGGCTGGGGACACGTGTGCCACCACAGCCAGGTGTGCCACCACAGTGACATGTGACAACACAGTGACATGTGCCACCACACGCAGAGACATCACTGTGTGTGTGTTTATGTGTGTATAGACATGGGATGCCTGTTTGTGTGCACAAATGCACGTGTAGATACACACACACACGTATAAATATATATATTTTTATATACACGGGGTGCCTGTTACTCTGTGTGTGTACATACAAACACATGCCTGTATATATTTATGTATTTATGAGTGTGTATGTATATGTATATGCATGTGGGATGCCCGTTTGTGTGCACATATGCATGTGTAGATACACACACACGTATAAATATATATATTTTTATATACACGGGGTGCCTGTTACGCTGTGTGTGTACATATAGACACGCACCTGTATATATTTATATATTTATGTGTATGTATATACACTTGGGGTGCGTGTTTCTGTGCACGTATACATGTATAGGTACACACCCACATATATAAATAAATATATATTTTATATATATAAAAATATATAAATTATTTATATTATAAATAATTATAAATAATATTATTATATATTATATAATATATATTATTATATATTATATAATATATTACATATTATTATATAATAAACAATATATAATATATAATATTACATATATAATAATATAATATATAATATATAATATATTAATATATTATTAATTAATTAATAATATAAATATAATATATATTAATATATAATCTAATATATACAATTATATATTATATAATTCTATATATATTATATAATATACATTATATAATATTATATAATATATAATTACAAATAATATTATTTATATTATAAATAATTATATATAAATATTATATATAATATATAAAAAAATATATATATAAATATATATATAGGGAAAAAAAATATATATGTTTATATCCACAGGGGTGCCTGTTGCTCTGTGTATGTACATATAGACACACCCCTGTATATATTTATATTTCTGCATGTATGTATATGTATGTACACATGGGGTGCCTGTTTGTGTGCATGTATAGGTACACACACACATATAAATATATATATAGGGAAAAAAAATATATATGTTTATATCCACAGGGGTGCCTGTTGCTCTGTGTATGTACATATAGACACACCCCTGTATATATTTATATTTCTGCATGTATGTATATGTATGTACACATGGGGGGCCTGTTTGTGTGCATGTATAGGTACACACACACATATAAATATATATATATATATATATATTT